AGTAACCCCCAGTTTAGAGACTTCTAACCTTGCTTATGATGTACACCCTAAACTCTAAACCCTAAACCCCAACCCCTAAACCCTAAACCCCAAACCCCAAACCCTAAACCCTACCTCGGGGTTTAGTTAGGGTTTGAGGTCCAGGCCTAGAGCTGAAGATCCGAACCCAGACCCTCAGCCAACCATGAATGACTAAACGGTTAAGGTTTAGGGTTTANNTTAGGGGTTTCGGTTTAGGGTTTTGGGTTTTGGGTTTTGGGTTTTGGGTTTTGGGTTTTGGGTTTAGGGTTTTGGGTTTAGGGTGTAGGGTTTAGGGTTTAGGGTTTAGGAATGACAACAGAATATCAACTAACATGACGGACTATAGACTCGAAACTATCATGAAGCTGTCGATCATGATGCCTTATAAACCCTAAACCCTAAACCCTACTAACAGCTGCTGTGATACTGGAGCCGCAGGGAGTTCCGACAGTCCATCAAACCGGGGCATGTTTTACCTGTGGCCAGAGAGGTTGGGGAAGGTTCGCATAATATAGGGGCCTTAGTAATTAGAATAGGATTTGGGGTATATTATACTAAAAATATAGTAGGGAACCTCCAAATAGTATATTAAACAGTATATGTAATTATTCAGGTTCCTATACTACCTCTTTCGATCGGTGGAGGACCTGACTCTGTGCAGCGAGCTCTCGAAACCACGATGACATTCGATCCCTCGCAGTTCGACCGTGCGACTGCTGATATCTTTATTCAGGGATCTACTTGGAGGGTCGGGGGACTTAATAAGTGGGTCATAAGTAGACTTATAAGTACCCTAAAAGGGATCCTAATTGGGGTTATGATATTTATAACTCTACAAAATAAGTAGTTACTAAGTCCCCTGACCCTCCAAGTAGGGCTACACATGGCGCGAAGTCCCAGCCATGCTCCACAAAGGAAGCTGTGACGTACCAGGTCCTGGGCAAGTGGCCCGAGACATTGTGGAAGCATCGGAAGGTCTGAACGGAACTTGCTACGAGGACGTTTAGGGTTTAGGGTTTATGGTTTATGGTTTAGGGTTTAGGGTTTAGGGTTTAGGGTTTAGGGTTTGGGTTTAGGATTTAGGATTTAGGGTTTAGGGTTTAGGGACTATACCTCTACCTCACGGGATGGGGTGCTGGAGCAGTGAGCCATGAGCCACAGACGGCCAGCAGCTCGTGCTTCTGTTAACTCTGTTTTGTATGTTTCAAGTCGTTACAACATAATATACCATACTATTTGCAACATAATATAGCATACTATTTTGGAGATTCAAGATTATAGCCATAATATAGTATACCCCACAACCCTATTCTAATCATTAAGGCCCCTATTTTATTATCTAAGACCCTAAACCCGACGCCCTATGCCAGAAACCCCAAACCTAAGCCCGGGACCCTAGACACCCAAGACATCCGAATCCTAATGCCCACATGAACTTATAGAACTGGTTCAGGGTTTAAGAAGTTCTCTGAATTAAGGTCCCCTTTCTAGGTCCATATAGTGCGGCACCCTTATAAACAGCACCCTAAAAGGGACCCTAATTCGGAGAACTGCCCATGTACAACTCTTAGTACAAGCCCGCATAGAATCCGAAACCCCATGGTGCCAAGGACACGCGACCTTTTTTGGCAACATAGTTCACATTTTTGGCAGTATAGCACCACATGTCACAACCGCTTTGCAACGGATAACAACGTGCTAATTCCCTAAACCCCACACCCTGGACCCTGAACCCTCATAGACAACAGTTTCGAAAAGGTGTAGCTCTCAGACCCCTTATATCCACTAGAGAACCCTTACAGAATTCTTGTTGACCAGAGCCCGGAAGGTGAAGCTTTCAGAAGAATTCAAAAATCTAAAAAAGTCAATAAGCCGCCTAAACCCTCAACCCTAAACCCTAAACCCCTAAACCCTTAGACCCTGAACCCTAAACCCTGAACCCTAAACCCTGCAAGGAACGCCGACGGTGTTGTGGATTTCAAGGCGGGCCCGGGCCAAAGTGGAGCAAGGGGGGCGCCCAGATTTTGTGTTACGTAGTGTAGGAGCCTTAATAACTAGAATAGGGTTTTGGGGGCTCCTTTAGTATAAAAGGTGCCTTTACAAGGATTCTTTCAGGGCTACTATAAGGGTTTAGGGTTTAGGGTCCTTAAGAAGTAGAATAGGGCTTTGGGGGTTCCTTATTTTAAGTATAGTATAATCGGCCCAAGAGCCCTATTCTAATTATTAAGGCCCCTATAGTAGTGGAGTTGTTGGTTCCTAAAAGGGTTTGTTCGGGTTTAGGGGGCAGGTTAAGGATGTTTTAGGGCGTTTTGATATCGGATAGAGCCTAAACCCTAAACCCGAGTCCCTAAACATCCCTAAACCCTAAACCCAAACCCCGAACCCTAATTCCTAAACCCTAATCCCTAAACCTATACCCTAAGCCTCAACCGCAAGTTTAGAGTGTGGGGCTTACAATCGGTGGCTGTTGAATTGAGGGCCCCGGTTGGGTTAAGGGTGTAGGGTTTGGGGGAATTCATATAGACGTCGGAATAGTTACCAGCTACCATCACTAGTATATTCCTCTTACAATAGTACCATGATAACCTGTACTCCAAAGCCCTGTTTGACTTGTCAAGGCCCTTCCATTATGGGATGAAGAGCTTGAGATTGGTCTATTGAGGCTCCCTGCATTATGGGGTTTCGCTTTTGCGACATGGGCAAGAGTGGCCACCGCTTGAGACCGCCTAACCCCGAAACCCTGTAACCCTAAACCCCTAAACCCCTAAACCCTAAATCCCTAAACCCTAAACCCTAAACCCCTAAACCCGTTTAGGAGAAGCAGCAGCTACCGGCTACGCTCCAGCTCGTGAGCTCTAGCTGCAAACTCAAGACTGTTCTGCACGCCTGAACACCCTAAGCCCTTGACCCTAAGACACGTCCGGATAAAGCCCGAACCCGAAATCCGAACTGCGCTCCAACGGGGTTCAGGGCTTTGGGCTTTGACCCAGCAGGGGTCAGTGGTCGAAGATCAAAACCCAATAGCTATACTAGTATTGGGGGTTCTGTAGATGTCTATAGTCCCTAAGAAGCTGCATTGAATCCTAGCCAAGAAGGCCACTACTTTCGAACCATTTAGGCACCATCCGATTCCTGGCAGGAGTTTCGCAGAGCGATGTTGGGAGATCCTAACACAGTCCGAAGCTAAGCTGTGCTTAGGGCTTCGGGGTTGCGGAAGCTTAACCCTAAACCCTAAACCCTAAACCCCAGATTTTAAGATTCCGGGTGTTTGGGATTAACGATGTGTGCACGCTGTTTGTCTCTGTGTGCATTTACGTAGGATGAGGGACTGCGGGGTCAAGGGTCTCAGGATTTTTCGGTGCACTACAAAGGCCTTGGTAATGGGAACAGAGTCTGGCGGGATGCATTTTCGTATAGTTCTGCGCATGGCGTTTGGGATGGAGGTCTTCATGCTGCACTCGTACATTTGCGAGACAGGCATGGCAACTTTGGGCATAGGAGTGCGATTACTGACTGTGGCTCATGGTGCGGCACGAGCTGCTGACGAACAGTATTGGTTTGACCAGCTGGTTCCGAACGATGCCCTACTGCGGATATCGCCCTACGGCACTAATCTCCCAATCTGCGTGATAGAGGCGTTCAGGGCGATAAATGGGATGTCTGGAATGCAGGGGAGAACGCTTGCGTTTGGCCTTTTCCTGAGGTCGAGAGCACAACGGGCTGCAGTCAATCCAGCTTGGGATCGCAGGACTGGTTGGCGAGCCGGAGGAGTTCAAGAGAACATGGTGCACTACTATGTCTCTGGGTTGAGCTTGACTCCGATTTTAAGCCGCCTTCCAGTATTTGAAGTCGTCCTTGAAGGAGTCAAGTACTGAACCCCTAAACCCTGAAATTATTTTGGTGGGGAGTTTAGGATTTAGGGTTTAGGGTTTAACCCCAATTCCTAAATACACAATCAAAGCCCTTATACTTCACATGTAGGGTTCCTGTGACGGACTTTGTACTGCAGCAAGCGAGCATGTGGAGCCCGCGACGACTCAGTGCTCAGAGGGCTCAAAAGGTGGGATGAAGGTAGGCGTGGGAATCCAAAGTAAGGGTGCTTATATAGAGGAATGGAGTTCAATAGCCCTTAGCTACAGAAGTATTCTTTAAGAGCCCACAAGTAGTCCACCTATAAGGTAGCCGTTATCCTACCCCTAAGCCCTAAACCCTAAACCCCTAGAGCCTAAACCCTAAACCCCTAAGCCCTAAACCCTAAACCCCTAGAGCCTAAATCCTAAACCCTAAAACCCTAAACCCTAAACCCCTAAAGCCCTAAACCCTAAACCCTAAAACCCTGAACCCTAAACCCTAGACCCCGAAACCCTTAACCCTAAAACCCTAAACCCTAAGCCCCTAAAGCCCTAAACCCTTAACCCTAAAACCCTGAACCCTAAACCCTAACCCTTAACCCTAAAACCCTAAACCCTAAGCCCCTAAAGCCCTAAACCCTTAACCCTAAAACCCTAAACCCTAAGCCCCTAAAACCCTGAACCCTAAGCCCCTAAAGCCCTAAACCCTTAACCCTAAAACCCTAAACCCTAAGCCCCTAAAACCCTGAACCCTAA